TAGGGGTTGGGCCTTTTTTTTTTTTAAGTTGAACCTTTTTTTTTTTTTTTTGAAGACCCAGGAAAGATAATAGCCTGATGGAAAAGATCGCAAATGACAGAAAAGCATTTTCACAAAGAGTGCATGAAACTGCCCACTAGATGGTATTTTTAAGTCTGCACAAGGTGTGGTTTTGAAGTGGGAAGGGTAAGAGAGGAAGATGATGGAGTGTTGTAAACAATTCAGAAAGAGATCAAGAAAATTTGGATGTGGAAAGGAAAGTGGCAAAAAAATGTCAGAAGGTTGATATTTCAGGAAGTGGTAGCTGATGAGTAACAATATAATTGGAGGTCAGAGAATGGCTGCATGGTGGTACTTGGTCTGTCTAACTGCCTGCCCTGGCTTCTCTTCCAGGACTGCTCTGCCTCTCTCTCTGGCAGATTTCTGCTCCATCGTTAGAGTCTCTATGTCAAGGAGTCTAATGTTGGTGCCCAGCACCACCTGGAGAAGAGGTTCTTTTGTCCCTCTAAGCATTATCCCATGGATGGCATTTTAGACTATTTATTTATTTATTTATTTATTTATTTATTTATTTAGTTAGTTATTTAGTTAGTCAGTTAGTCAGTCAGTCAGTCAGTCAGTCAGTCAGTCAGTCAGTGTCAGTCAGTCAGTGTCAGTCAGTCAGTCAGTCAGTCAGTCAGTCAGTCAGTCAGTCAGTCAGTCAGTCAGTCAGTCTTTTTCCGTGTCTGGCAACGGATCGCAACCCTCAGTGTCGCCCCCGTACCGGACCGGGACCGGCAACGGGATCGCAACCCTCGGTGTTGCTCCCGCGCCTCGCTCAGCCAGTGATCGGGAACCGATCTGTATGTGGGATCCGAACCCTTGGCGGGAGCGCCGCTGCGCTTCCCAAGCGGCGCACTATCGCAGTGCGCCACCGGGCCGGCCCATAGACTTTTAAAAAAGTCTTAAAAAGTACCCTTTATAACCTGTTTATTCTAAATGCTTGTGTGCTACGAGTGAGGTATCAGATTTGTGGTTTGCATGTACCATGTGCCATATAGGGAGATGTCTTGATCTGGTATATTTTGGAGTATAGTAGCTCTTTATTTGCCACTTCTGGGTTTTAAAGATCTTCCTGAACTTGACCATGTTAGTATTATGCCCATAAGCTTTTCCTGGATTCTCTCAATCTTTCAAGGGTAAAACGATAGGAGTGTGCAATACACCTTTCTTGACAAATTGCGAGTTCTTGTCATAGGACATGTTTGAGATCTTTGAGTTCCCAGCTCCAATTCCCAAGTTGAATATTTGGCTGCACATGCTATTGCTTTCCTGAAATCTACTTGATTCTTGCACCACAGCATTGATTCAGTACCATCTACAATTTGGAGTACATACATGTCCTCTGAGCTGGGGGCTGGTAGAAACTTGCCCAGTTTAAGACATCCTGGGCTGCAGGGCTCTTGGCTTCTGGTAGTAGGAGCTTTTTCTAACGTGGCCCCTGTGGGCTCCCTGGGGTCCAGTAGGTTCCTGCACAATAAGCTCCTCTGCCTCTGATCACTGAACCTTCTCTAGAGAGTGGTAATCTCAGGGAAGAAGATAATGCTACTCAGTGCATAAGAGGTTTTACACAAAGCTGGCAGCCCAATGGAATATTTCCCAGAGATTGGCCATTTACGGATATAATCAGTGTCAAGAACAGAAACAATGTTCAATGTCAAAAGGAACACAGGGTAAGGGAGCACAGTGGGGAGAGGAAAGGATGCACACCTCCTTGTGAGGCACAGCCCTGCTTTGGGGAAACCTTGGATGGCCGCAGCTCCCACATGACCCAGAGCTCCAAGATTTAGTCATCTTCATTATTTTGGCTGCCTTTTAGGTGAGGTGTGGAGAGGGACAAATGTAGGGGGCTGGGATTCAGTGGACATGAGTTTCTGTAGATTGACCACGTGCAGTTGGTCTGGAAAGTCAATAAACCTTTTTTTTTTTTTTTTTTTTTACTTGTAGAGCATGGGAGTGACAATGTGGATTCCTTATTGCCCATCTCTTACCCCTTAGTAAAGTTATTCCAGTTTTGTTAAAAATGAATTATCACACAAATGGCCCATATAAGTCAAGACACTGAGTGTAGATTATGGGGCCTGACATGCAGACCCTGCACCTGGCTGATAAATTTCCCAGGAGAGCCTTTGAGCAGGTGTTTCTGTCTCAGAGCATTCAACAGAGCTATGCGTATGGTCTGGTGGGAGCACAAATCTGGGGAGAAGAGACACTGAGTGCAACTGAAGAAAACCAAAATTTGGCAAATATTCCCTAAAACTCCCTCTGGAAGATTTACGAGGCAGAAACAACTGCTTTCCTCATGTGATGTTGGATCTCTAGACCACACTGTGGAGCAGATACTTTAACTCCTGTTACAGATGAGGCTGATGTTCAGAGAGATGATATAGTTAGTGCAGACTGCATCTGGACTCAAAACCAAGTTGAGTACAAGCCCGTCTTCTCTGCATTATGTTGTTCATGAAAGAAGCTTCTCAGCAAGGCCTTGGCCTTTTACTTCAAAGGGTAAAGGGACATATTTTTCCTTTCATGTCTTTCCATGGCCCATTCTTTCATTCTGGTTTCAGATTGCCAGTCTGGCTGCATTTCTCTGTCCTTGGTCAGCAACTCCCTGGGTCATATTCCACACTTAAAGATGGAGGTAATTGCTTCAAGATGTGGCCCTTTAAGGAGAGAATAAGTTGAAAGGCAAATATTTTTATCAGCTCCAGTCAGATCCTGAGCTTTAGAAAAAGGAAATGACAGGTTGCTCTGAGATGTAAGCTTCCTTTCATCTCCAAGAAAGGAGATGTATTTGTCCTTCTGGAATAGGTTAGTGGTAGTGGTGAAGTAAGAGTGGTGAGCGATAATTTTGTCCATTGGTTTTTTCCTAAAGCTTTATTACCCAGTTTCATGGCTTTCACAGTAAGTAAAACAAGCCACCCTCCTCCAATACCCCTCCCTCCTTCTCCCCGCCCTCTCTCATTTGTACAGGCAACCTTGAAACAGTTGGGAGCAAAAGCAGAATGCTGCTTGTGACACTTTTCCCCTTATCCTCAGCCCTGTGCCTCTCTACACCTCCCTCCCCACACATTCTGGTGGCTGTCCAACTCTAAGAAATTCCTAGCAGGGGCCCTCCCTGAAGGTCAGGATGCCTCCAGCAGGGGACAAATCTTGCCTGGCAAGGACCTTGGTGCTCCAGATGGGTTGGCTGGATCCAGAGCTGACTGGTTGAGAGCTTGGGGATGAGAGCTAGGGAGCTAAGCTAGGGATCCAAGAATGTTTTCCTTAAAGGATAGATAAAGTAAAAGCAGCCAGCAAAGGAGATGGAGAAGAAAGGTCAGGAAAACCCGGAACAAAGAAGATGGGATGGCAATGAGGAGCTTCCACTGAGTGCATGGTGAGGAGTTGGGTAAGAGCTGAGAAGTATAAGGTGCATCTGAAAGTCTGGACATTGGTCACCATAACCAGAACTATTTCTGTGCCCTACTTGGTTAAGGCAGAAGCTGGGTTGTAGGCAGGCAGACATCTCGCTGAGAAGTGACAGGAAGATGAGGCAGCAGGGGTACATTATTCTTTCAAGAGCTTGGCTGAAGGGACAGAGAAAGACTTACACACACACACACACACACACAACCACCCAACCACCATGCACTTGCCCAGAAAGAGGACAGCGAAGTTGATGGTGGTGCTTGAGGGGAAAGTCAAGGTCAAGGAGGATGTTTCTTTAGAATGTCAGAAATTTGATCATGTTTATAGCCTATAGAATGGGAGCTGATGGTGAGGGAGAGATTAAATGCCTGTCAGGGTGGATGATTTATGATTCCACCCTAGAGTAGCACAGAGCTTGGTGGAAACTTCCTCAAAGTTAGTACAGAGGTGAGAGGGAGTCATTCTGAGTTTCCACCTAGAAGGAGGAGCAGGAACAGAACTCAGGGAACAAAGCTGAAGGCTACTGGTTAACCACGAAGGTAACCTTAAGTTTTACCAAGTTGTGCAAGGATGTGTGAAGAGCCTGGAAACTGAGAAATGGCTAGAAACAGGAAGGTCAATCAGGTGGGACATTTCAGGAACAAATTCTGGAAGGATTGTATCCTTTGACATCTACTTTTTATGTGCATCCTGGAAGCTTACTGGGCTAGGGAAAAGTTAATAAAGGTAAAAGAACCTGACAGAGAAGGTGGCATCGTTCAATTGTGGCAAATTAGCCTTGGAAAGGAGCTGTGGGCTCACTTTCTCTAAGACGGGGATTTAAGAGATATGAATGAGAGATAATTCCGGGAAACACTGAAATAGAAAGAATTTAAGTTCAGTGAATGATTAGATAATTTTTACCTTTTCAGTAAATATGAGAAGAGGTTACTTGAGAACAAGAGGGGGCAGGGTGGGTTTTAGGGCTTGAGGAGAATAGAAAAGATTTGGAACAATCCCTGAAAGGAATCAACCAGAGATGAATACAAGTTTTGCCAGCAGTGTTGAAAGATCAGCTGTAATTAGATAGTATAAATTTGTATTGAAACCAATTGGAATCATTAAGTGACTTTCACTAGCAATTCTCAGGCCATGGGGTTTGGAAATATGGACAAAAGACTATGAGTTTTAGCATGGGCTAGGCTCTGGTAAACAAATGTACATCAGGTATGGGGGCAGGAATGAGTCAAGTGAAGGATTTTCTGGTGTAGATACGGGTACAATTGGAATGACTAACCTCGAGGGATATAGTAGATGAGGAGACAAGCATTGCTTAAAGGAAGTTGATAAACCAGGAAAATAGGGGGTTATTAAGTAGTCATAGAAAAAGAAATTAGAGGTTGAGTAAACATACGGGACAGTTGAAAGGTCAAATGATTGTGGCCAGAGGAGAGAATTTCAGAGTTGAAGATTTTAGAAGCAGAGCCAACACGTTCTCTGTGAGGGCCAAGTTGTGGCCGTGCTGAGAAGCTGGAACAAAGTGGAAGCAAAACCTGTTGGAGCTGAAGTCAAAGAGTGGAAGCTGAATGGAAGAGTCATTAACAAGATGTTGAAGCTACTGAGGAGATGAAATGCTCCTCAAGTAGGTAGAAAAGCTATTGATCAAAAGGCAAAAGCCTCAACCAAAGTGGGAGACTCTCTTGGTTCTAGATATTTGGAGAGAATGTGATATAACTGAATGGTGCTACCAGAAGGTGAGTATACATGTGGATGATAAATGGAGACAAAACAGTGCTTTGGAAGTGGGCCCGAAATAGGGAGAAAGGTGTTCTGCAAGTTTGGGTTGGTGAAAGCAGAGTGGTCTCCACTTAAAATGACTGGAAAGAACATGTCATATTGTGCAAAAGCCTAGATTCAGTTTATGTTGGAAGTAGAAGGAGCAATGGAGGATGTAGGGTAGTTAATTTCTATTAAGACACATATTTTAGAGTTGACAGGGCTTTGCTGGGTCTGGAGATAGGGAAGTAGAGCTAGATTTGGATGAGTTTATTGAAGGCTGATTTTGAATTCAGGGATTGGAACAGCAATTATTAATGACAAGGACGAGGCAGAGATAATCATGAAAGGTAGAAGCACATAGATATAAGGTAGGACAGAGTAAGTGAAAGTTTTATTAGTAGTAAACAATATGAAATTAAACAACCTCAGGTTTCTAATTAAAAGTTTAGTGTGTCCATCTGGAATGTCCACTTGGAATGTTAGTGCAACCCAATTGGAATGGCTGTTGGAACCAATTAAAATATTATCCACATCAGCTGGAGCGTTGGTATGACCAACTACAACCTAGAAGTTAAAACAGCTAGAGGGGTTTTGGCAATAATGGGAGTAGACTCGTAGCTTTCAAGAGAGATACATTCTGAGGCCTTTTAAAATCCCACTAAAGCATTATTTTGAATGCTGATCACTAGACAAAACTTCATGAATATCATCTTAAGACACTCAAGTACTCAACAGGGGCTGTGTTTTTACTGTCATATCCCTAGGCATTGGCATCTGGTGGGGATTTAAAAACATATTTGTTGAATAAATGAATGAAGTTTCATGGAAGAATTTGTCTTCTCAGATCTCAATACTCTAAAGAAATAGTTTATATCTTACAGACCTTGATTTGTATATTTGTTCCTTTTCCTCTTTGCATTGGCAGCTGGAAAACTCACAAATACAACCATTTCTAGCTGTTCATAGAACTTTATGGTATGGGTTTTCTACCAATTGTAACTCTGGCTTCCACTTTTTTTTCTACCTACTTTAACTTTTATGATTTATTTTTTAACTTGAAGTATCTATTTTTCAAACTGCCTTAAATTATTTTTGGAACAAGGCAGGTAGAAGAAAGGATGAAGAGATAGAGATTGAGGTGGTGGAGGGCAAGAAGGAAGTAGGGAAAGGGGAGAGTATGGGAGAGAGTATTTGGTGTAGGGGAGGATTATGTGTTTGGATATTCAAGTACTCAAGGCCCAGGGAACTCATCCTCTCTGTGTGCCCTCACACCCAGGGAAGAACTACTCAGGACCCTGATGACCTGTATGGCCTTAGCACCAACTCTGGTAGATAGTATGTGCTCAATGAAATTTTGTCAATCGGAATGGGTGTTTCCTGGGTTCAGTGAATATTAGTTGATTACCTTTTTTCAGCATTTATTTTTTTATATCTCTTAAAATTCTTGGACTTCTCTGTTTGGGAAACAATTGTGATACATTAGACAGAAATGAGTCTAATAGAACTTGACTTGATAACTAACTCTGCTGATGATTGGCATGTGTCCTTGGCCAAAAGATTTACCTACCCTGTCTGGACCTGTTTGTCTGTCTGTAGAATCAGGATAAAATTTACTGCCAAATCACTGGGAGCATTTATTAAGAGGATATATGTAGAAATGCCTAGCAGTATCTGGCACAGAAGAGGCACTCAATAAATCCAAGTCCCACCAATTATACTGAACATGCTCATCTGGCTGACTCCTTGTGGCCAAGTAGCCTGCAGTTCTGGTGCTGCTGCCTCTGCCCTGTGAGTCGGCTTCACATCTGGCTGGCCCGGTGCTCAGGGAACTCACTGTGCTGAGCTGATGGGCATCTAGAAACCCATCCCCGTAGACTGGCAGATGAGCAATTGGTAGCCTCACTTTCCCAGATACTGGGGGACTTTGAGCTAGGTAATCATGTATTCCAAGTCAAAATCTCCATCCTGTGTGGTTTGATTCATGATCTGACGTAGACTGGCAGATGAGCAATTGGTAGCCTCACTTTCCCAGATACTGGGGGACTTTGGGCTAGGTAATCATGTATTCCAAGTCAAAATCTCCATCCTGTGTGGTTTGATTCATGATCTGAGGACAGTTCCGACTCTGTGAACTCAGAGCTCCTGGGTCAGAATGTTGAGATCACCATTCTTGAACTGGGGGTGGGTTGCCCAAGATGATACAAAATGTTCTGACCATGGCAAGAGGACAGTTCCGACTCTGTGAACTCAGAGCTCCTGGGTCAGAATGTTGAGATCACCATTCTTGAACTGGGGGTGGGTTGCCCAAGATGATACAAAATGTTCTGACCATGGCAAGGATATTGTGTCTTTTCCATCTGTTTATCTGGCCTGTTTCTGTCCTGGTTGCTGTGTACACTCTCCTTGCTAGGACCTGGATAGCCAGTGTCTACCATGTTCCAGGATTTTGGGCATCATGGGACGTTGTCATTTGCCAATAGAAAAATATGTTGCCTTGGAATTTGGGAAATGCTCCTAGTTTTTGAGGTCCTTTATAATTCCTAGTAGTCCTAAGCAGGTGTCTTGCTTATCAACTTTGTTTTTTTACCTTGTTTATGCTTATTAATTGTATGTATTAATAACAGGTTTGTTGTTGAAGACTTGAGGTATCTGGTTGTAGTCTGCCACTGTTCTAGTGATGGCAGGACTAGTATTAACTTCTCTGGTCTGTCCTCACAATCATGAATGAACCATCTTTTTATTTACATCCCATCATGGTCAAATTGTAATTTTGGTACAAACCAGGAAAGATCCAGCTCACATAGATTCCTGCATAATTATTTAATAAATACTCAGTGAATATCTCCTTTATGTTCTAACTCCCATTGGGGTTCAATGTGGTGAGGTCTTACATTGAAATGTTTTGAAGACTGCACTGAGCATTGATTGAGCCCAGGAGGTGATCCGGAATTTTGATTTTGAAAAATATATTGTTAACCCAAGTTTTTTTTGTTTGTTTTGGTAGAGAGGACCTACTGCTTTGCCTTCAAAACAGAGATGGATAAATTTGGTTCTTTGAGAGTACCCATTCATTTTTCTCTACTTGGAAATAATTAATAATGGTTTCTATGGGCACATGTTTTTTGAGGAATGTAGCTCATATTGTCTTTCAAAGCACAGTGGGTGAGGGCAAGGGTTGTGCTATCCCTGAGTGACCCAGTGTCAGCCTAGGTCCATCCTTAAAAGACCTATGGCTGATATGAAGCAGCTTCAGTTCTGTGTTGTCCAACATACAACTTAGATTTCACCTTATGTGCCACAGATGGAGCTAGAGCTGTCCTTGTTGCCATGGTGCTTAATGATTTTGAGATCTGTTTTTGCTTGCAGGAGCTGTTAAGCCGCACATCTCTTGAGACCCAGAAGCTTGATCTGATGTCTGAAGTATCTGAGCTGAAGCTCAAGCTGGTTGGTATGGAGAAGGAGCAGAGAGAACAGGAGGAGAAGCAGAGAAAAGCAGAGGTGGGTATGACACACCAGATTCTGGGGGGACTGGGACTGTCCTAAGCTCAGACTTTGGGAAGCTATCCTAATTTGGACTCAGGCCATCTAGTCAACCCCAAGCCTGGCAGCCTTTGGGTGCCAGAAATATCTATGCACTAGAGACGCAATGATCTGTTAATACCAAGTTATCAAGTTTTGCTGTGGCTGCAAATTTCAGCAATGCCCAAACCACCCAGTTTTGGCTTTAATGCTTTATCCTCCCTCAAACTGCTGACAAAGATGGAAAGGGAAGCAGTTGCTGGGGAAGGATTAGACAAAACATGGAAGGACACAAGATGTCTTCTGTGGGAACCAAGATGATGATGATGTACTGGGATGAAGCCTTTGAACAGGCCATTGTCACTGTATCCAAGGAGTCTGGAGACATTTTCTGATTCCTAGATGGGACCCTTCTTTTCTCCTGATAGGTCATATATGTGAACCCATGTGCAGGCCTTCTCTTAAAGAATGTCTTCCTGTTTTTGTTGTTTTCAGGCTCCATATGCCGTTGGCTAGAGCATGCCAGACTCCTTTTCGAATAAATGTTTAGAGAATTGTAGGCCCAGAGCTCCTTTATTTGAGGGCAGCGTATTTTAAACTTTGATAACGATGATTGTGTGCCTCTACCTCTAAGTCCTTTCATTCATGCCTGGCAACGTGAGATATGAAAGAAAATAGTTTCTAGGTTTAGAAATAACTTGGCTCATTTACTGACCTTATTGCTTAATAGCTCCGTGAACTTCAACAAGTTAGCTACTTAATCTCTCTGAACTTCAGTTTCTTTATCTGTAAAATGTATAACTGTGTGGTAAAGTCTGAATAAAATCACAAAAGTTAAGTAAAGTACCTACCATAGTATTTGGCATTTTATAGGTACTTGGTTTATCTTCATCTCCTTCCTCCACTTAGGCATCTCCGAAATCTGAAGATAGATAGATATTGTTTCTTTCTGATAAGTACCAGCATTATTGTGCACTGACACCTGCCATTTTGGGTACTTGGTTTATCTTCATCTCCTTCCTCCACTTAGGCATCTCCGAAATCTGAAGATAGATATTGTTTCTTTCTGATAAGTACCAGCATTATTGTGCACTGACACCTGCCATTTTTCTGTGTTTGTTGGGTAAACACTGGTGATTGGAACACTTCTAATGTGTGGGGCTTATTCCTTGCATTGTTTTTGAGAACATGTTCATTAGTAAGAAGTATAGTTGCCAAAAGAATGTATGTCTGGTAAGCTGAGGACAGGAGCTTCCAGTGATGAAGAGTGCAGGCTATTGAATCCTATCTTCTGGCCTTATTCCAAGATCTGCTACTCAGTAGCTTTGTGATCTTGGCTAAGTAATTTAACCTCTCAAACCTCTGTTTCTTCTTCTATGAGATGGAGATGGTAACACTTCCTATTTCTTTGGTTGTTCTGAGGAGTGAATGAGGTAATGTGCTGGACACATAGTTGTAGTTAGCTTTTATTGATCACTTACTGATAATGTTGTTAAGCATGCTGGAAATGGAAATGTAGACATAGATACATTATTTACATACTTGCGAAGGTCACACAGATTGAAAGCTGATTTGTGTGAAGTGTTAGTTGAATGGACTCTTAAATGTTCAGAGAGAAGCGATCAAATTTTCTCCTGGTTTAGAGTCATTTTATCAATGTTTCAAGATGTGTGATTACATGTGAACATACAGTAGGGCCTTGGGGGCAGAATTTAATAAACTCTGAGAAGGATTAAAGTGGAGGGGACTTAAAACCACTTAAGAAAAGAAAAAAGGGAGGAGAGAGAGTTACTAGGTCACACAACTTGAAAAGTTCGGGGTTTAAGTAAAAAGTTTAATATGACTAGATCCAGGTAATCTCATGGTATCACTAGAAATCAGTCTTACTGTATCACTTGGTTCTATCTTAGTCTTATTGTCAGGAAGGTTCTCCCCAAGTGGTGACAAAGATGGCCATCAGCAGCTCTAGACCAATGTTCTGTCAGCCTGGCAACCCCTGCAGAGAAAAAGATTCTCTTTCTCAAAGGTTCCAGGAAAAGCCCCAAGATTGCATCTCATTAGGCCAATTTGGGTCACATGCCTGGTTCTATGCCAGTCACTGTAGGGATCATGTACCCACGCACAGGGGTGTGTGTGAGTGTGAGTCACTTCTTCCCTGGAAGAATGCCGACTTAGTACTGAGCTGGGACAACTCAGTCCCTGTGGAGAGAAGACAGGATGGAAGGGGAGCTCCCACTTCTGGAACAAGTATCACTAAAGCAGTCATTTTACTGTTTGCTTGCTTTCTTTTCTGAGGGATTATTTTTAAATCTGAGTTTTTTGTTTTTGTTTTCTATCAGGCTGTTCATGCATAAGGCAGCAACATATACCTGAGCTTCTGCCTCAGTTCTACCAGTGAATAGCCCTTCCCAGTTGCTAGTACAAATATTAGGTTTCCATGTGGAGGAATTTTGTAGGCTGTTCAAACCTGTGATAATCAGCAGCCACATGACCTGAAACAAATTCCTCATTCTTGTAATTGAACATAATCTTTACTGGTATGCCCAGAACCTCTACCTCTATTTGTAACTGTCTGGAGCACCAGGGACTGAAAACTATGGAGTGTTGCTTAAGCTGCACTGTTGTCATGCGCACGGAGATGTTTATTTTGAGAGACATTTTGCTAGCAAAGGTCAT